TGGGTGGCATTGAGGGTGTGTGGTGTTTGTGTGTGGGGTTCGGTGAGCGCTGCGGAGCCGGGTCAAGGTACTCCCAGCTGCCCGGGCCGACCCCTGCGGCTGCTGGGCCTCGGCGTCCCGGAGCGGTGTCGGTGCTCGGCTTGGCACTGTCAGTGCCCGCCATGCCCCGTGAGGGTCGGGCAGCGGCACCGCTGGTGCGCAGCCTGTGGGGGAAAAGCTGTCCTCGAATGAGGGGTGGGCGGGATGCGGCCCCGCGGGGATCTTGAAATAATATTAAAAATGCAAGCAATAAAGTTGTTTTAGTCCATGATTGTATTGCTCTTATGTTCTATTAGTATTTTGCATTAGACTATTTATTTTTAAAGTTTCTCTCTAGATAAATAGTGTTTATTCATTGTAGGTCTGGGCCCACAGAAAACATAAAGCCCTGGGACTGGAGCCAGAGCCAAATCCAAGTGGATCTGAAATAAATCCCACAGGGAAGGGGATGGAGCTGCCCAGGGCTTCCAGCCCAGCCAGTGGTGCCAAGCGCAAGCCAGGGGTGGAATCTTGGGGGGTTCCTGGGGCTCAGAACCAGCCCAAGAGCACATTTTGGGGTGAGGAACCTGGGGCTCGGTGGCTGTGCCTTGTCCCTATTTCTGGCTGGGGTTGTGGAAAGGCACGTGTTGGGGGTCAGGTCTCATTAGCAGCCCCCCTTGGGATGGGTGTGACAGCTCATGGAGACACTGAAATGATGGTAGTGACTGATTCGTGTCCTTGTCAACAGCTCTGGGCTGCAGTGAGAACCAGGAGCAGCTTTTAGCTGGAGGCACTGGGAAGCTGAGGAGATGGAGCTGAGGCAGCACAGCTGGCAAGACAAACATGGTAGGGCTGGGGGTGAAACCCCTGTGGGGCAGGGACAATGTAGGGACTGGGGGGTTGGAGATAAAATGAAGATCTTGCTGAGAACCTGCAGCAGCTCCACCTGTCAGCAGTGTGGAGCTGGAGTGGAAACTGAGCTGGCAGTGAAATAAAGCCTGGGGGGCTGGAGCTGAAATCACTGTGGGGTTGGGGTGGGAGAGCAATTGCAGTGGTGGAGCTCATTGTGGGGCTGGGCTGGAGCTGTAGCAAAGATCCTGCTGTGAGAAGCTGGAGCAGCTTCACCTGATGGAAGTGGGAAGATGTGGAATGAGCCGAATCAGCAGAGCTGGCAGTGAAATAAAGCTTGTGGGGCTGGAATAGGGACTGAAGGAGCTGAAATCACCAGTTCTTCCCCAGCTTCTCCCCACTCCTCTGGCAGTGAGGGCCCTGTGCAGTGGAGCAGGACATGTGTTTATGGGGCACACGGGACACATCCCCTGCTGCCATTCACCGTCTGTGTGGGCAGGCATCAATCAAGCTGAAAAACACACATGAAGAGAAAACTCCCTGAGGAGCTCACAGAGACAGGAGTTCCCTTCTCTTTGAATTGCCATTTGTATTCCGAGAATTGTGTAAACATTAAATATTTAAAACATTGCCTGTAGCGCTCTTGTTTCTCGGTGGGATTTGGATAAAGCCGTTCCTGTCTCAGGGTCATGAGAAATGTGTTCAGGCTTGGCGCTTTCCCCTTCTCCATCCGCGATGCCGAGGCCTCCAGGAGCGCTGCCCCTCTCACACAGCCTGAAACCCGAGCCTTGTTTCATGTTGGCAGGAGTTGGACTGGGTTTGGCTCTCTTTTGCCCTATCATTCCTGGTCTGTGGGATGCTGCTGCTGCTGCAGGAACTTTGTCCAAACCCCCCAGCATGGGAGCAGCTCTGCACTCCCAGACAGAACCCACTGCACCAAGCTTTAGGTTTTTTAGCAGTGCCCAGGCCATGCTCACAGCAGTCTACTTCTGCTTTGGAGCCTGGGATGTTTCACCTTGGACACTTGATCATGCAATGGCATTTTTTTATTTAGTAAAGATCTGTCTTGCAGTTTAGGATACCAGCTCTGCTCTCACAGTGCTGGTGATCTCTTGTTGCTGGTAACTCTTAGCAGCTGTTGTAGTTTCCCAGGTGAAACCCTTCACATGGAATCTGAAGTCCTGATTATCCCCATCCTGGACACCAAAGAAATTCTAAGCCCACTTTGGTGTGTTTTGTCTGAGGCCTCAGGTGGTTCCCCAGGTGCCACAGGAACCTTTGGCCACAACAAGAGCTGAAAGTTGAAGAGTTGTAGCCTATTGCTCTAAATAATCTTTTCCTAGTGCTGATGTCTGGCATTTAAGGTCACAGCTGATCTACTTTTCTGACCAGAAAAGCAAAGTATTCCAAGTCATTCAGAGTTAAAGATTTGAGGATATTAAGGGCAGGCTTAGTTTTATGTATCTAAATCCATGTCAAGGGGACAGAATGGTGTTTTTTAGTTTCTGTTTTAATGGGGTAAGCCATGAGGAGATGCTGCACTGGCCCATGTGCCCATTCCAGGGTACTTTGTCACTTTGTCACAGGAATAAGGGAATTGTCCTTTAAGAGGAGAGCACGGGAGGACACGTTTGCCCTTGTCCCCAAGTCCTCCAGCACGTAACTGCATTACCCCCCCGTGTCCCCTCCCCACCCAAAGCGTGACCCATTCATTTGCAGAGCTACAAAAGCTTGGCCTCATCTCCCCGCGCTTGGCTCCCGCTGTGAACACACAAGCAGTGCTTGGGTGGGCGACCTCATTTGAGGGCTGATTTCATTATAGATCAACTGTGTTCCTCCCCTCATGTATTTCATAGTTATCTTTCTCCCTGATGAGGACTTCTTAATTAAAGCATGGACAATTTGTGACAGAATGGCATTTTCTGAAGATTTTCTTTCCTGGTTGCACAAATGCATCGCTCTCCAGAGGCCAGGCTGGTCATGTGTTAATTTAAAATGAAGGTTTTATTGCTGCACCCTGCACTAGGTGCTGCTCACTGGAAGAAACACCATTTACAGGCTGATGACAGATTTGGCTGTGGGTTATTCCAGCCAGGCTTCTGTCCTGTGCTAATTCAACCTCATTTTGGCATTGGTGCCTTATTTTTCAGCAAAACTGAGGCCGTGTCAGAGCGGCATCTTTGTCCCCGTCCTGTCCCCAAGAAGAGCAACTGAGTTCTCCTGTTCCACCAACCCTGAAGGCCTGAGCAGACCCCAGTGCCTCTGGAAGGTCCTTCTGCTTCCTCTGGTGTTCTCTTCCATGGGCTGTGGTGCTCACAGGGACCCTGCCCTGTCCCCAAAGGCACTGAGGTTACATCAGAGAGCAGGGGAGCTGTGCTGTCTCCAGGACCCTGCCAGTTCTGCCCAGCTCAGCCCCTGCCCCCTGTCACACTGGGGGATGATCTCAGGGGGCCTGGTTTAACCCCAACCCCACCCAGGCACTTTCTCACTGCCTTCCCAGGCCATGGGGAGAGATCAGAAGGGTGAGAGAATGTGTGGGTTGAGATAAAGGCAGTTTAATGCATCAGAAAAGAAGATTTCATGATGATGATGATGCACTTGTCCAGCCCATGGATGGCTTTCCCTCAGTTTATTTGATAAGCATGACTCCAGATGGTCTGGAATATCCTTGGGTCAGTCAGGGTCAGCTGTCCTGACTGTGACCCCTCCCAGCTCCTTGTGCCCCCAAATCTTCTCACTGGCAGGGCATGAGAAGCTGAAAAGTCTGAGCACAGACACTGCTTAGCCATGACTGAAAACAACAGTGTGTAATCATCATTATCCTCACACTGACTCCAAACCACAGCTCCTAGAGTCAGTGCTACTGGGAAGAAAATTAACTCTCTCCCAGAGAGGAGAGACCAGGCCAGGGAACTCTTAGTCAGGTCCCTTATATTCAGAATATAGGAATATTAAAAGCTTGTGAATAAGCTTTGAAGGCAGCTATAGATGCAGGTAAGCCTGATGAGGCTGACAAAGCACAGATGCATTTAAAGCAGTGTCACTGGGGTGTTTATCCCACCCAGGGGTTTTCACAGCTCCCTGGAGCATCTCCCCATGGTTATGGTCACTCCCATCCTTTGGGACACCTCTGCCTGGTGTGTTGTCTGGAGCACAGGACAGAGGCAGCCTGGGGTGAAAAAAGCTGAAAAAAGCTTTTTAAATCACAAGATTTGATGGCAGATGGTGAAAGGGAGCAGCAAAGAGCGGGGTCAAACTCCAGATGTGAATCACAAGGATGAAGAAGCCCAAAATCTGAACACAGACGCTGAGCATCATTTTTCCAGTGATCAAAAATCCTTCTCTGTGCTGTCTTCACAAACCAGGAAAAGCAGAAGACAGCAGCCAAGGGGTTTTCAACCAGGCCAGACATTACTACAGTAATTAAATCAGTCCAAGCAGCTGATACCACATAGGGCTGCCACACTCAGACTGAGACTTCCCAGGAGCAAATACTTTTGCTGCTCTGATGTACCAACATATTCCAGGATCCCTGATGTTCATTTCTGTCTAGATCAGATGCAGCAGGAAGGCCAGGCTGTGGAAACTGAATTTTTCTTTCACTGACACGACAGTAAATCTGGAGTGATTCCATATGTGCCAGAGGAATTCCTGCTAAGACAGCAGCATCATTTCCAGTGGCTTGCAGTGCTGGTTGGGGTTGCCACACCACCAGCACTTAATTTCCTTTTAACTCTCTCTGGAGTCCCTGCAATAGCTGTGATAGATGCACACAGCAGGTTTTAAACCTGCCATTTTCAGGACATTTTGCATGGGCAGGAGCACTTCCTCCAGGATTTTATTGACCTGATCCAACACATAGCCCCTGAAAGAGACACCAGGGTGCTTTGTTGGCTCCTTGAGTGCACAGGGACAAAAGCAGAGACTTTTCTAAAGCACTTGTTCTGCTTTTCTGATAACATTTCCTTCAGTGTCAGCCCCTGCACAATCGCATAAAGGCTGCCCTGAGAGTGGTTTTCTCCCTGTTTCATGATGGAAACTGCATTTTTTTTTCCATGTGGCCTTTCCCTGCAAACAGAACTGCCCTGTGTGTGCTGCTCTGGCCTGTCCAGGCACAAGTGGTGCCAGCACTTTGTCACGAGGGGCAATGGGTTGGTGGCCTAAGCCTTGTTGGAATTTCTCAGGGCTCACAGGGATGAAACTTTTGTCCTCACTGTGGTTCTGACAGAGAGGCTGGGAAAGGATAACTTTGAGCTTCTTCAGGCCCGTGTGGGAAGGCAGGACAAACACAGTGCAGCTCTCAAATCTCACCAAACTTCCCCAAACTCATGTGGGACTGCACAGGCTTTGCCCAGGCCCTGGATGTCAGGGCAGAGTTCAGATGGGGGCACATTTGCTGCTTTGAATCCACAGTTTTATCTGCAGTGCTCACATAGGGAAAGAGCTGCTCTTATTTTTCCCTTTTCTCCCAGAGTGAGAGCTCATCCCTTTAGGCAAAAGGATGGGTCCTGCACAGCTTAGGCTGCTTCAGTCAGGCAGATTTGTATCTTAATTAATACAGGGGCATCAAATTCCCTCCCTAGGCTCTTTTTTTTTTCTTCATTTATACAAGTGGGGCAGATTTGGGAAAGCTGAGGTATCAAGATGAACGAGTGTTCTATAACTTACAAGTCACAGTCAACACACACTCGACAAATAAAAGCCTCAGAAAGGTTGTTATCGGCCTAAATACTGAAACCAAATTTTATTTTTTGAAAATGACATTACACACATCTTGCAAATGTACATTTAGATGAGAAAACAATGAGTAACAAATATTGAGAGCAAAGCTATAAAGTGGACAGGTTCTCTGCTGCATGGCATTGCATTACAAGAATACTCAGACCCGGGATGGTTATTACAAGTAGTAAAAACAGTTCACAACACCTCACAAAAATGGAATTTTTTCCTAGTCAAATCTTCTGACAAAAGGAAATTCTGTTAAGGGAGAAGAGCCATAGGGAATAGAGGTGTGGATCTAGGTACACTTTGTGATTTTGTGGCACGGCTTTTTGGGGTTTCTTTAAGTCCATTTCTTACAAAATGCGTCTCTGTGAGTGACCCCATCTTTTCCAAGACTTTGCCCGTTTTCTGTCCTCTCCTGCCAACAGAACCACAGCTAATAAACAAGGAGCCCCTTGTCCTCAACCCAGAGCTCGGGAGTGTGGAGAAGGAGCTGTCTACAGACCCCCCAACAACATAATTCCCATACCCCATCCCCACCCCCTCGCTGCGTATCCAGGAAAACCAAAAGTGTGTGCAAACTCCGCAAATCAGGGGCCGTGGGACGAGTCCCAGGGACATCCACCACCGCCAGGAGCGGAGGCCACGGCCGACGCCGCTCGTGCCTCTTGCCTCGGCTGCAGGGCCCAGCAGCACCTCACCCTCCACCAGAGCCGGATTTCCAAAGGCTGGACTCGCTCCCCAGCTCGAGCAGAGGCAGCGGGGGACCGACCTCCGCCTGCTGGATCCTGGAAGTTGGATCTGATCAACGTGCCGAGGCAAGGCACTGCGAGAAATCCGTTCCCCGAGAGAACCTGTTGAGAACTGCTTTTCAAACCTGGTCATTTATCGTTTTATTTATGCCCAAATCTGTACTTTACAACCACGAGAGAGAGAGAGAGAGAGAGAGACAAAGAGTAAGAGAGAGGGAGAGAGAGAATCTTTCCAGGAGGAAAGGAAGAGCTAATTAAGAAAAGAGAGGTACAGGACCATGCATTTACTCTCAAGAGCTTGTTCACGAGCAAGCCAACATTTCTAACACTACAACCACTCATCTACATCTGTTTGCTAAGTAACTGAGTTCTACCTACAACTAGAGAGCAGAAGGGGTCTTTTTATTTTTTTTCCCCCTCCCTTTAAAACGTCAATAAAAATGTTTTCTGTACAAGTTGAATGGCACAAAAGGTGGTTAAAATGCTAAATAACTCACCACAAATGGAGAATGTAAAATTAGTTCAAAACATGCATGGACTGTGTACAGGTAAGCAAGGAATCATTGGCATAAAGCTGCAATATATTACAAGATGATACAGTTGAGATCTTTTGGAATAACCTCTGCTTGTTCTGTCCCTTTGAAGAGACCTTCACATAAAAATTCAGCATAAAGGGAATTCGAGGTGTGTATCCAAGCAGGAAGTTAACTATGGGCAACGTTATTTGTCTGAAGAGAAAAGCATTTCCCCTCCCCTTCCACACACTCCCCCAAGGTACAAAAGTCAACATGATCAGCATTGCTGCAGGCTTGCCAAAAAGAAAGGTTAGACAGGTCTGGGGTAGGAGAACAAAAGCACCATTTAAATTAATAACTCTTTGTACAATGTCATTAGTTAAATACCTTATTCTTTAAACAAAAACATCCTGAAGTTTACCAATCCCACCAAAATTACCGCGGACCCCTTCCCACCCCCGTCCTCCAAGGTTATGTACACAGAGTTTAAAGTATACCAGCTAAACTTTAAACCCAGCTGCCCCTCCAACCCCCACCCTCTGAACCACAAGAGAAAATACATCGTGGCCTCTCAGTTATATTATATTGCAGCTTTGTCGTTAATGAGGAAATCATACGAACTCAATGAGTGACCTAAGACAGTAATCCACGATCAGGTTCCAGCTGAGCTGCACATCTCCCTGCCTCAGCACCACTGGGTGCTGGCTCTGCAGCTCTGCGAGCCACAGGGTCCTGAGCAAAGGCAGCTCCTGCTCTCCAGACAAGAGCAGCGTGAGGAGCTCAGGCTGAGGGCATGGGAGCTGCTCACCTCAGCGTGGGACAGGATTTGTAACTGAGAAAGAAGACAAAGGCTAGAGACAGCAAAGCCAGCAGGCTGATCCTCCTTCCCTGTGCTTCCAGACTCGACAGTGTCACAAAATCCAGAGAATTATGGAGGGGAATGTGTCATTTCAGAGAACAGAAGAGATTTGGCTAGACAGGTTTCCTCTTTCCAAAAGACCCTGGGTGTCTTCTAATTGCTAATCACAGCTGTACTAGGATGCCACGGAGCTAAAGCTGCTTGGATCACCCATCATTTAAATAAGAAGCAAACTAACAACAGTTTCACATGTCAGAATTCAGCATGTAATTATAACTCACAGGCTTCCTTGTTCTTACATTCAATACTCCTGCTTCACCATAACTAAAAACACCAATTAGCAGTGCAATTAATTCCCCAGACATTCTTCTATTTAGGCAGATGCATCATTAGACATCACGCTAAATCTGAAAAAAGGTCCTCTGTCTTAAAGAGAGGGAGAGAAAGGAAAAAAATCTGTGTGTTCTGCAAACCCCCCTGTGACAGCAGGGTCAGCACAAGAGGGAAACAGAATATCACAGGATTTCACCTGCCACCTGCTAAGGAAAGTGAATTACAAGTCCATCCATACCTGCTCTGCAATGGTTGGAAGCAGATGGAGAAAAGCAGCCGTGCTGTAATTAAAACAAAATAGCAACAAAATACTCCCCCAACATAACCCCCAAACCCACACAACAACAAAAATAACCCCCACAACGTGTTTCTCAGGGATTCTCTGAAAGTAAAATCTGTCATGTTGAAAACCTGGGCCATTTGGTCCCTTACAGGTATTTCCAGAGCCTGACCCTGTGCATGGGATTCCCAGAACTCCGGGATTCAGAGCCAGGGTCAGGCTCTCGCTGGCCAGGTGCCACCACCTGTTCCATCACGTGCCAGGTGAGTCCCAGTGCTCTGCAACAACCCCACTGTGCAAACATGACTCCAATTTAGCTCCATTTCCTATATATAACTCTTGCAAAGAGAGATGGAAGAACCAGCTTGGATAAAATTCAAAAGCAGCCTTGAGTTTAGATGAGTCACCTAAAATGAACCGAACCTTTCTTTCTATTTCCGAGACGTTTGGCAATGCTTATCTCTAAAATCCAAGCCAACCATAAATCTCTATTCTGCCTGGTACTAGCTGGGACTAGAGTAGAAAAATATTGGTAGAAATAGAAATACTACTTCTAGTTCCATAAACCCAGCAGGCTCAGGGCGTATCTATTGGTAGACAGAGCAAGAGTGAAGGGAGATAAAGCAAACACTCTTTAGAAGCAAAAAATATGGAGGAGACCCTGATTTGCTGAGGTTCCTTGTTTAATTTTCAATTCTAAAACTTTTCAACAAACTATTTCAGCTTTCTCATGAACTATAATTAAACTATACAAAATATCTCCCATCTATAACTTGCTATTTGAGGTCCATACAAGAGATGACTTTTTAACTGGGGCCAGTGAGGTTTTCTCTGCAAAGGCTGCAGCTGTCACCCAGGAAACTGAATCTGCACTCAAGCAATCAATCACACAAGAATTATCAACAGTAATCAATCTTTGAAATAGGAGACCAACCTTGGACCAAATAGATTCACAAATTAATTGCAGAGAAGCTTCTGCCTGGTTAAAGCAGCAGAAAATTAGGTTAATTTTGGTTCCATTTGCATTATACTGACTGTCTGAGAATTTATGGAATTAAAAGAGATGCAATCTTTGTGCAACAGAAAAATATTCTGAGACTATACAGTAAAAAAGTGTTTGGATAAGTCAGTTATTTTGTGGTTTAGGATTAAATTCACAAGCACTATATCCCAACAGAATTTAGGAAAAAGATCTCTTGAGAAGAAAACCAGTGTTAAACACAGGTGTCCATGTTCTGCACAGACTTCCTATTGCTGCGGTGGCTGCAGCAGCTCTCACACAGGGGCTGGGCATTTCCTGGGTGAGATCAGCATCACCTCTGTGCCCACACAGCAAAAAAACCCAGGAAACCTCCCTGAGGAGTCTGCCCTGGCTTTTCACCCTGGTTGCCACTTTTCCCAGAGTGGGAACTCTGGTTCCCAGAGTGTGCTGAGCTCTGTGGGAAGGGCTGGGGGGCTCTGAGGTGCCCTCATTATTCTCTTACATTCCCCAGAGTGCCAGGTGTGTCCTCTCCAGGCCAGGGCAGGCTGATCAAGGATTGATATTCCTGGTAAATAAACCCAACCCACAGCTTGGTGCTGTCCTTGAGCAAGTGCTGCATCTTCCTTCTCCCTTGGAGGGATGGCATGTGCTGGCAGGAGAGTTAAATGGCAGCAGGGGAAGAGCTTCACACCAAGTTCTCCCGCCTGCTGCAGCCAGGTTTGCCTTTATTTCTGCCAAGGGCAGAGGGACAGACAGTGCTGTGGACAGACACTGCCCCCTGGCCTGGGGACCTGCAGGGACATTACTCAAACAACAGCCAGGAGCTGCTGCTGCTCCTCTGTCCAAACCAAGCCACAGAGCCTCAGCTAGCCCCAGCCTCCTTCTTTGTTTGTCCTCAGAATTCCTTGGTTTCTGTGTGTCATTATTCCCACACACCAGTGGCACTGACATGTCCAGTGCTGTGCCTCGTGCTCTCCCTGCCATTGGATTTTCTCTGAAGCTCCAGCTGATTTAATGACTCAGTACCCATCTCCTAACAAACATTCCCCACCAGTCCTCTAAGGAAAAGGCTTTTCCCTTCATCTCCTGTGTTCTCCATCATGGCATCTTTCCATCACGATGCCATCTTTCTTTTTTTCAGCTGACAGATTAATTACTGCCAAGATTTGTTAATTCCCTTTGGGCATCCTCCTTTTTCTTCAGTTTGAGTGATAAACTGTCAGACCTAGGGAACCTCCAAACTGGCTTTTGGAGAGTCCTGAGTTCATGGAGATAAAGAGTCTCAAGAGGTGGGTTCAAGTGCACTAAGCAAGGACATTGCAAGGCATATAGACACCTGGCCATGAACACTTTCTAAACAAGAAGGTTTTCAACACCTGGCCCACTTTTCTTGGTAGAAAACCACTGAAATAATTAGACTTATTCACTGTTTGTAAACACAAGGCCCATATTTTGACTACTAGCAGGAATTGCCCCTGATATGTGCACCTACATCTAACCAAAAGAGGGGCAGTGGGGGCTGTATTGAGGCAGGAGAGAAATGGGCTGCTGGATGAGGGTTTCTCCTTCCTCCCAGGGATGTTGCTGTGGTTTTGATGGGGAACTAGAAATGAGGTGTCTGTCTTTCACCATGACTGAAATACTCGAGCATTTTTACAGCAGAGTTTTGAGAGAGCCAGAGTTCAGTGAGAGACTTGCCAGCGATACAGTTTGCTCCTACAAAGTGCTCAGACTTCACTGAGCAATTTTAAAATGTATTCTATTCACTGAGCAATGAATACATTTTAAAATCAAGCTCTTTGATCAAAGCACCCTACAGGTGAAGTATTGGGACCAGCCCTCTCTGCACTGGGACACCATGGCACAAGGAAAAATCATCTGTCCAGGGTTGTGCCACACCCCAAGAGCTCTGAAACCCCAATGGCTCTGAAACCCCACTGCTGAATCCACTAGGTTTCATTCCCATTTGCTCAGAAGCTCATCTATTGGCCAAAAATAGGTGTTGATGTGTTTAATCATCTCTGAGCAGTGTCCCAAGGTCAGTGACCCCAAAACTCCACATTTACACCTGCAGGTGTTGTACTCATACCATGCCCTGCAGCTGGGGTCCTGTCAGAGCAGCTGTGCAATGGCATTGCTGGAAAAAGCCTTTCTGTCCACCCACTGATATTCCCTGAAAATCTCCCCTCTCCCTATTAAAATGAGGGTTTGTCAGCTTGGCCTCCAACCTTCAATCATCACTGACTAGAACTGTTCCAGAGGAAATAAAACAAAGGGGTCTGTACATTGCTGCTCCCAGCCTTTCACCTGCAGGCACCAGGAGAAACCAGCTCTCGAGGCAGGAGCAGAGGAGGATGAAGAACATCTGAACAACCAGTTCAGCAGAATCAACAACCACTGCAGCAGAACCCAGCCCTGTTCACTCCACAGTGAGGAGCAGCTCTGAGATGCAAGACTCAGCTGTAGCATTTCCTGAGATACTGTGGAGAGGCTCAGATTCATGCAGATGGGACAGAGGCATCAGCCAGAAGAATTCTGTGGTACTGGAGAGAGCAATTTTCAAGAGATGGGCTAAATACCTCGAGACTTAAAGCGTGCCCTGCCTCCTTTGGTCAAGGCCATTGAACCCTAGGCCTTGCTGGGCACATGCACAGTCCTGCTTCTGAAGCCCAAGGGGTGTTAGAAGGCACTTAAAGTCTTCACTTTCCTGCTCTCAGCACACAAGGTGGGGTTTCAGCTGGATCTCTTCCAGGTGTCTTGTGTAAAGCACTCGTCCTGTTGCATGGACTGACCTGACTCTTCAGATGCACAGGAAAAATATCCTCGTCTCATGCCATCCATTTGCTTCTGCAAAGAACCTCACCAGTCCCAAATGCTGTCCCAGCCTGCTTCCATCAGCAACCAGAAAAATAACCTGGAGCCAAAGTCCCCACGTGGAAAAAGCTGTTTTGTTCCGTCATGGTCGTGATCAGCACCTGGTGTGTGGCAAACACACCTCCACGGGGCTTTTCTCTGGTTTTGGATTGTCTTAGCTTGAGGAGACACTTTCTAGACTAATTTTAGATCTACTTTACTTGGCTATTTTTTCTCCCTTTCTCTAAAAATGATTCTGCCTGTGCTACAGCACAAGAGAACTCTCGTTTGCTCTGCACGGCTGCGGGGTCAGCGACAAAATCACTGCGGTGCTCTCGGCACTCTGGGGAAGGCTCAGACTGGAAAACCCACACAGGGCCCCTGCAGAGAAGATGCCACTTCCAGGGATGGTTGTCCCTGGAAAAGTGTCTGGGTAGGGATTCAGCCTGGAATCCCAGAGCACCCCCAGGGGTGTGCTGGGGAGCAGCACTGACCTCAAAGGCATGAAAAAGCAAAGACAAGGCATCCTAGAAAATGCTATCCTTATGGATAAGGAGAAACTACCACTTTAATGCCCTTGTTTCCCATTGGAAATGCCTGGGTGTAACACTGCTTTGCTGTTTGCCACAATTTTTGGTTCTACCTCATTTTTTTTCCCCTTCAAAAATACTGGACAAGCAAATAAGAGAGAAATAGCAGCTGGTTTTTTGTATGCCTACAGTTGTGTTAGCTGAGGATGAGAGAGATGTGGAAGTTGTTTTCCAAACAGGAATCTTTTATTGTCTATGGAAATAACACAATTAGTGTTGCTAGCTCCTGAGAAGACCATAAATAATGTGCAGATGTAGGAAACACAGGCAGTGGTAGGGAAAAGCTGCTTCCAGCTCCCACCACAAAGTAAAATCCCATTATCAAACTCTTTCCAAATCACTTTAATATATTTAGCTGGTGGAACTGAACTAACTCCAAATCTTATACCAAATGAGGTTTTAAACCAGAAACTTCAGGGTACTAAATGCTTTACTAGTGATAAAAATCCCAAGGCTGAAGGTTTTGCTGCATTGCTCTCATCTTCTACAGTCAAGACCATCACCTGAGTGTAAAAGTGTTAAACCCCTCAGTCTGTGCTATTCCTTCCTAATGACTGTGTCTGAAATGGGGATCTTTATATGCAAATTTGCTAAATTACACTGAAAAAAGGCAGATTTCAAAGAAACAAAGCCCTGCTACTTTAAGAGTTTCTCCAATTTGTCTTTAAGTACTCTATTGTTTTAAAATAATATAGCCTCAGTGATTCAATTAGTCTCTGAAAGCACTAAAGGCAGCCTCATGAGGCAAATTAGACAAGGTTTTTATAGCAGAATTAATATGGCAAATCCTCATATCATGTGGAGCTTTATGTGCTTGTAAATGTAAAAAAAAATAAAAAAAAATATGAAAGGTGAACTCTGGATTATATAGTGGAATTACTATCATCTGCTCCAGAATCTCACAGGGTCTGGAATTGCTATAGTATATTGGAAGTAATTACTAATTCACAGCAGTTCAGGAAAGCTTTCTGACCAAACCCAAGCTTAATCTCGTGAAAAGTCAACTCAGGAGTAAAGCACGTGCTAAAATTTAAGCCTCTAAGTTCTTTCCTGTATCAGGGCTGTCCTGTTTAAATAACTATGGTCTGATGCCTGTGCACTGTTTTTCTGTATCCAAATCTAGATGAGGGATCCTACAAAGCCAGAGATAACTAGTTCTGAATGTATGTAACATTCCACATGCATTTCTGTACAAGAACTCATGCAATATTGGCATTAATACAGACTTCACTCTATGCTACAGCTGAAATGCTCACTGACTTCTACTGCCCAGGCATTTCTACCTAGAAAATTGCTTCTTAAAACTTGGGAGTTTGACCTCATACCCTGTTTTCTTTGTGGCTTCTGCTGGTTTGAATGGCTATTTTTCCCACTGAACAATTTTTTTTTATTATTATTATTATTATTCTTTTAGGCCTTTTCAAGGTCTCCCTAATTCCCTGAAGGAATTGCTGGGCTCAGCCCCACCACAGAATGCTCCTCATGCAAGCAAAACTGCATTCCCAAGGGAGAGCTGGCAGGATATCAGGTTTTAGATGTGTCACCAGGTGCAGCTCAGGAGGAAGAGCTCAGTGATTCCTTAGTGATGCCCCACCAGGAAAAGCATCTCCAAATAACCAAACAGAGCTTTTGGCAGGAAGGACAGGAACCCCTTCTCAACAGCCATCCAAACAAAGGATCATTCCTCCCTTGGGATCCAGCTTTCTCTTACACAAACTGCACTCACAGCATCTCCCAGATTCCTTTCCTCCCACCACCAGCTCCAGCAGCTCAGGCTGCAGACAGCAGCCCAGGATAGCAAGAATTTGGGTTTCCTGGTGCATCTCTGGTGAGTGTCCTGCACTGAGCAGCAAGAGAACCTGGATGGGATTGCATGGCTGGTCTCCTGCTTTATCTGAGGACAGGTGGCAGGACAGGCTCACCCTGACTGTGACAGGAATGGCCTCTGTCACCGTGTGACAACACCCTGGACTGCAGCTCCAGTCCATCCATGGCTACTGCTCAGGGTCCCTGGAAAGGCAGAGACTCAGGGAGGGACTCAGATTCCCACCAACAGAGCAGGGGAGAGGGTAAAAGCATGTCAAATTATCTGTCCCACTAAAGCTTTCCCTAAGACAAAAGCTCTGGTGAATAATACTGTTATTAGCATAACCAAGGCCTTTGACATCCTTATGCTTAAAGAAGTCCTTTTTGCTCATGACCAGTGTCTACAGTAGCACTCAGAGGATTAAACAGCCAAAAATTAGCACCCATAACCAAATCTGCACCCAGAATATTTCAGCACCTTCTGTTAGAGGATCTGAAAGCACTTGACAAATGTTAACCAACATTTGGCCTCACAACCCCCAGTGAGGTAGAACAGAGCTGTCCCTGCAGGGACAGACAGACAGATTGAGGCACAGGGTTACTCAGAGACCTGCTCCCATTCAGACACGAAATTCAGCAATGCCAAGGGCTGAGAGGTGTGCTGACTACTGCACCCAAGCTTTGTCCACAGCACCGTCCTTCCCCCCACAAACCCTCAACACGAGCCCTTAGCCTGTGAACTAACCCCAGGATACTATTTACAATATTTAAAATGACCATTTAGCAGTTGTGCAGTCAGAGAGTTATTCAATCAAATGAAGCTACCAGTGAGAACAAATGGTTTCTTGTGCAAAACTCTGGGTGTAAATGATCATGCACTAAGACTACTGGGTGCAAATTTGGTGCATGATAACTCTGACCCCTTGACAATTCCCAATCCTGGCCTCTCTCTGATAAATCTCTTGGAAAAAGTTGCATTATAAGCGTGATCACACGAGCCTCGGAAGATGCAGCCTGCACAGATTGTTTCATCCCAGCAATGCAAGCAAACAAAACGTGGAGTGGCTTTGGGAACAACCCAGCATTCGTGGAGCATCAAAAATCACGAGGATAAAATCCATCCTAATCACAAGGGGTTGCAAGGCAACAGGGAGTAGGTGTCTATGTTGGAAAAGAAAATAAAAAAAAAAGGCAAATAGAGCAACAAAGAAAGAATTGATTGCACAGATTTCATTTAGGTAAAGTTCTGCAAGAATCAGTTTTATCAAAGCTTGTTCCATGAGGGAGGGAGGCAATGGCAGCTGGCCTAGGACAAAGCTTCTGCGCAGTAAAAACCACCAGCCCTGTGTGAGGAGATGAACTTTGCATTCCAGAGGAGGCATTACTGATTAATAAAAGCAAAAGCTTTCTCTAAATACAGCGAGTTTGTTTTTTCTCAGATAGAAGAGTTTCTTAAAATACGGGTTTTAGAACACCACAAAACTTCATTTGTTATATAAGTAGAGAATCTGGCCATAGTTAGGAATACTGAAGTGTAAAAAATCAAATACGTAGTCTTAAACATTACAAAAACTATCAAAACATTCAATATTTTGAATTGACCATTTTCCCCCCCCACTACACGTGTCTGTTTTGGCAGTGATGACAAGATTTCTAAACTGAGCTGTTGTTATTATTGTTCTGCAGTTGTGGTTGGTTTTTTTTGTACTTTTTTTTTTTTCTGAACGTGTTTTTTAAACAAAAGAAAATCACCAGCTTTTATAAAAAAGAAGGAGCTTGAATCCTTACTCCCAAAACACAGATAAAAGGTTTTCCTTTATAAAAAGTGTATTGATTTTTTTTGCTATAAAAAGTGACCTATAGGGTGTCAAACCTGAAAACAAATTCTCACAGTGTTTTCAGTGTTGGCTGTTCACAAGGCATTACTGTTACAAACAGAGATAGAGAGATACCATAGGGGAGGTATAAATATTTGTTACCAGCTAGCAGCATCCTTGGATTGCATGTGGAAGGTGTTATACTCCAGATAACTCAGCTGATTTATGAGTTTTTGTTTAATTATTTAATAAAAAGCAAACCCAAACAACATCTGAATAATTTGAATTATTGTACTAACCTTACTTAGCATCTGATGCAATCATTCCTAATCTCATCCAAGCCTCTGCTGGCATATTAAGCATCAAACTAGAAATTCCCTTCCTACCCTCCACAATAAAAGCAAGACTCTTTAGAATGCAGGTGCCAAAAGTGGGGCTGTGAGTGAGGAGGAGCAGGTGAGCTGGCAGAGGCGGGCACTTTGCACAGGAGGAGAACATCATCTGCTCTGCTCCAGCTTGCAAAGTGCTCAGCAAGGGCTCCACCTGCACACCTCCAGGACAGCTACTTTACTACCACTAGGAAAAGCACATGGTTGCAGCAGAAGAAGGAACAGAAGAAAATGGGAAATGCACAGAATCGTTGGCGTGTCGGCCCCAAATTTCTCACAATGCCCATTCTGCGCCCCTGTAACTTAGAAGAATGGTATCCCTCTATCTCTATAGACTGGCAGGTGTTGGTTTGTGGCACAGAGAGGAGAAATCACAGAACAAAAATGACATTTAACCGTGTGTCCTTTGACTTGAAAGCACCAGTCACCTATCTGCTTGTTTTGGCAGAGGTACTTTGCTGTATCCCAAATGCAATGTGGACATTTCGCTCCGCGTCGCTCTACATGGAATCCCCAAGGGAATCCGAGTCATCCAAAGACAGAGGCAGGTACAAGTCCTGTAGGGAGAAAGGAGAAAATGTTAACCCTCACCAGCAGCTCCCACCCTTGGCCAGGCAGAAGGAAGCAGCTGAGAGGGTGAAAGGTTTGTGCACTGGTGACTGGGCTGGGCTCAGCAGAATCCAGGGAGTTCCAGGCTAAAATCAAGTCAAGCTCCTTGCACAGAGGGGCAAGAGCATCTCTGTTCCTGATGACTGCTCAGGGGTAAGTTTCACAAGTGGTTTTTTTACCCTTCTGGATCAATGTGTCCATTCCAGCCACGTGCATGAAAGAGCAGCACCTGGCCTTAAACACATCTCTTCAAACCTAAAGGCACAACAAGGAGTCTTACCTCGGTTTGACAGCTGCCCTCAGGACAAATCTCCAGGAAAATCACATGGTCCGTGGTTTATTCTTTATTTTAAGTAACTTCTAATCAGTTGGAAAGGTTAATAAAATAATCCCAAGTTTATTATTTAGATCAAATGCTCGATGTAAAACTTTTCCAGTGTCCCTTTCTGGGGTAACCATTTTATTCCACTTGTTTAAAGTTCTGTGTGGGACAAGGTACAGGAGCCAGCTCAAGGGCTAAAGCTCTCCTGGGACCTTTTTGAGCTCTGACCCACACACAGGTAATAAATGTGAGCAAAATTAAGAAAAACTAAAATATTCAGGAAGGAAATTCACAGAAATCTTGATATAAGAAGGACAAAATAGGACTTTGTGGTGAACTCAACCTAAGCGTTTATCACTTGAGCTTTAAGGGCAAAAAAGAAAAGCCATTTCATCATAAGCAGGAAATTGCTCCTGGGAGAAAGACAATGATGCATGAATATTCTGGTAACCTAAAATGCTGTATTTGTGTCTGCTGATTGGCTTAACTTAGTGGAGAAAATCATAGCTGGGTTGGCTTTGCCCTCAGCAGTCACCATCTATTACAAATGGTCTCAGGGCTGCACTGGAAAGGTCATAAATCAGCCAGCTGAAAACATACATAAAACATGAATAAGGTGAGTTTTACTTGTCTTGACCAAGAAACAAATCCTCATCTCCTAAATCAGGTCCTAAATGGGATGGAAAGTTTGGGAGATATTTTGTGTCCCTGATGCTGAAGCAAAGGATGCAGTTTGCATTATTACTGCTGATGAACAGGAGACCACGGGGGCCAGATTCTGTTCTCAGCTATAAATTACTAATAAATCTGGACACATTGTGTTGAATTTAATGTGTTTTCTCAAACTTAGACTGAGCAGCTGAGAACAGAGGGAGGTTCCAGGGAAAACACAGTTTTCATTTGGATTCAGCTATGCCTTTGTTAAACAGAATCAGTTCAGCCCCTGCAATCTGGCCCACGGTGGGTTCCACGTGGCTGCTGACTGCAAAACCTCAGCACCACCTGAATTTTTTAATTACCCTTCAAAAGAGCATTTGGGTCAATACTTTCAGTGTTGGGATGAGAGGTACATTCTGTTTGCTAACGAGAAACCCCCTGACTTCCTCTCACACCCACGTTTATGTCCAAGCTCTGATTCCCGTATCAAGTGGAAACTGTTGGGAGCAGCACTGTGGCTATTCCAGAACTGCAAAGACCCATGGAAAATAAAGTCAGAACTCAGCACAGAGCGACCCTGAGTACCAGGAACTGAAAAAGCTGTGACAGCTGCTATACCTTTTAAATAAATCAATACATGAATTATCCATGAGGCAGGTTTCCTGATCTCTGCCAGGATGCTGTGCTACCTGTTGGCCACGCTGTCTGTGACCAGCTACTGTTCCACTACACAATTACCACAGCAGCTGTAAGAATCACCTGCTTCCTGTAAAACAGAACACAGCCTTAAATAATGAAAAAAAAATTAAATTCTTGAGGAGCATCGTTAAAGTGATGTGTTAGAGTTCCAATAACATTTGCACTGCTTCTGCTGTTTCATGGGCCTGGTTTGCCAACCCTCGAGGCTTTTCAGGACAGGAGGGTTTACGTGAAACCACATCCATCAATGATTTTTTCTAAGACAGGCACAAGCTGATGGTTGTCTCCTCTGATCCCCCTGGATGGTTTCCAGCACACATTAACAACTCCAGGCCAGTGCTTTGCTCACCACCTTGCCCAAAAGGACAACTTTTACAGGCAAAGGGCCAAACTCCGCTGTTTGAACATCAGGAGCTGTTGTTATCCTTCCAGAAGACGCGGCCATGACCTCAGTGGTGCACAGATCTGATGGATTGAGGCAGAAGGAGGTGTAGTAAGGTATAAGAAACGTAATACCTTGTGCTTACGGAGGCTCCCTGGGCTGGTGGGCGTGGAGATCGGGGACTGCTTGGATTTGGGTGTGGACAGCTGACTGCTGGAGGTCCCGTTGGCTGCCAGAAAACAAGACACAAGCTGGAAATCAGGCAAGCAAGGGGAAGATCTTTCTCCCTTTGGGGAGATGAAAGGTCTTCAAACATTAACACAGAAACACAATTTTTCTTTTCATTTGTTCATGGAAGGCAGGAGAAAAAAAACCCAAAAGCAAACAGCATAGCTATAGACATAACTCCAGAACCAGAGTCTGAAGATATCCTGAATCCTACCCAAGCAATGTCAGATGTCAGTTATACACATTAAAAACTAGACAAACAGCAGCCTGGAATTCCCTGGCTGTAGTTTGCTGTGGGTGGGATTAAGTGACCAAAGAGCCCAATGGAATTACGCTTTGGATTGTAACAGCTGAGTCTGCAAGTCAGTCACTTAAAATTCACCAAGTACCTGAGTGTCTGGAGGAGACTGAAGAAGTGTATCAAATATCATAGAGAAAACCTCTGAATGTTGTATTTTTAAGAGCAAAACCAGCACAGCTCTTGCTTTAATGCCTGAGAAAGCTTCACTCCTCTGTTACCTCCTTGTGGGAAACAGGGGTAGCTCAGGTTTGCAGCAGAGGCAGAGGTCAAACAGGTGTGAAAAGAAATGTGTTCAAAGCCCCAGGGCAAAGGAGGAGCTGCCAGCACCTTAAAGCAGCTAAAATGCAACAAATCCATGGTGATGTGGCTCCTGTGCCTTCACATCCATCGTTTCCATGCATCTCCTCCTCTGTTGAAAGAGGTTATTCATCACACACAGCTTTTTTTCCTATCACAAATGCACCTTACTGAGGAAATGGATATTTTTAAAAGGTGGCAGAAATAATGATTTAGAGATAATTGGGGAACAGAGTGACACTTCACCTCCCTATCCCACTCAGACCATTCTTTATTGATAGGGGGAAAAACCTGTTCTGGAAAGGCAGAAGCTGTTTTCCTGCTGGCCCCTGCACTGAGCTGTGCCACTCTACAGAATCAGCTGCCCTCCAGGCTGGTGGGGAAAAAAGAGTAGAGGTCTCTAACTATATGCCAAATAATGAAGGCAATTCATTAAAAAGAGAACTTGAATCTCTTTTATGTTTTATTTCACTGAGCAAATTTGTGTTTCCTATTAAAGAAAATGTGGGGAACAGGAGGACTGAAATAATCTCTGTTAGCTAGAATCCATTTCCAGTTTTTCAAATGCCTCTTTCTTTATCTCCAGTTGTCACTGGTCCTTCCTAAGCTGAAGAATGCAAAACTCTGCAAGAACCCTCAATTTCCCTTCCACAAACAAGACTGGAACAGCAGCAGAGCCAGTGTGCAGGAAAATGGATGCAAGTGCTGCAGGGCAGGACAGAAATTCCCTAATACAATGAGAGTTTTAAGTGCTACAGCAGGGATGTAAATATTTTATGAGCATCAACGAAAAAACAGATGTGACATCCAAATCAGAAATGGAATGGAACTGATGGATATCATTCCAAATACAGCAGAATTTTGCAGCAGGAGCAACAATGAAGAAGCCCAGTTTAATTTTCTCTGTCTGCTAATGAAGAATAGTGTTCATAAGCAAAGTTGCCTGCATTCCCTTTGAACTGAAATGCAATAACAGGAGGCAAAGAGCAGGTCCCAGGTGGTGCAGAACACTGCTGCTCCACTAATATCTGCTGATGATTTAGGGTAGCTCCGGATCTCACCTACACTCAGCTGTTAGGAACTGTTCTTTTGAACCAGCTTTCATTTCAGTTTTTTTGGGTTTTTTCCCACCATTTTAGTCCTTGTGCATTATGGCATTTGTGGCATTGTATTTGCTCTGCAACATCAATTTACCTTAAAGTTCATATGTCAAATCCTTTCATTGCAGGAGCATGTGCACCTTTTTCCACAGGATCCTCGCCTACCCCTGTGCATGAGGCAGTTCTCAGAAGATAAATCAGCCTTATTCAACATTTAAGAGGGAGGATGGAGAAGATTCCTGTCATGTTTGAGATGAGAGATCCAGGTAAACTGAATTCTCTGTCTGCTTCCCCCACAGATATTTTAGAATCACAGAATGGTTTGGGTTGGAAGGGATTTTAAAGCTCATTTCATTCCACCCTCTGCCATAGGACAGGGACAGCAGGACACAGGGATCAGCAGGGCACAGGGACAGCAGGACAGAGGGACAGCAGAACACAGGGACAGCAGGACACAGGGACAGAAGGACAGAGGGACAGCAGGACACAGGGACAGCAGGACACAGGGACAGCAGAGCACAGGGACCAGCAGGACACAGGGATCAGCAGAGCACAGGGACAGCAGGACACAGGGACAGCAGGACACAGGGATCAGCAGGACACAGGGACAGCAGAGCACAGGGACAGCAGGACACAGGGACAGCAGGACACAGGGATCAGCAGGACACAGGGACAGCAGGACACAGGGACAGCAGGACACAGGGACAGCAGGACACAGGGACAGCAGGACACAGGGACAGCAGGACACAGGGATCAGCAGAGCACAGGGACAGCAGGACAGAGGGACAGCAGGACACAGGGACAGCAGGACACAGGAACAGCAGGACACAGGGACAGCAGAGCACAGGGACAGCAGAGCACAGGGGCAGCAGGACACAGGGACAGCAGGACACAGGGATCAGCAGGACACAGGGACAGCAGAGCACAGGGACAGCAGGACACAGGGACAGCAGGACACAAGCTGTCCTGTCCCAAGTGGCATTCCCCAGACATCTGCTGCCTTTGGACACACTCATCCATAATAACCCCTGGGAGCAGCCCTGCAGCCAGGACAGACGGACACTCTGGGTCTGTTTGCTAATTGCTGCTGCCTGGTGAATGTGTTTTGTCCCTCTGTCCATTAGTGGACCAGGACATTAAGGTCCTGCAGCAGCCCCAGAGCCCTGCTCGTATTCTCCCCGAGCCAAATCAAGGCAAAGACCTTTTCAAATTTCAATTCAGGTACCTGTGCCTCTGTCCTGTTTTAAAAATCCTAAGTTCTCCTATCACAGCACATGTTTTTATCCAACTGGACCCTTGTTTGGTATGTCAGTGTAAGATAAATTCATGTTTTTGTAACAAGGAAAGAATGGCAAATGACATCTTTATTTTCTCTCCTGTATTTCTCCCCTGAGATTTTGCTCTGGCTTTTGCTTAGTCTGACTCCTTATTGGAGCAGTCTGTTAAAGAAATTGTGCCAAACTTCACGCTGACCCTACTCCATTTAAATCTCATGGATCAGAGCAGAAGCACAGAGACTTCTCTCCTTCTGCCCAGTTTTCCTCTGTTATGTTAGGGAAAGGAATTGGCTGGTGCCCTGCAGGTGTGGTTTAGTGTGGATTTCAATGCTCTAAGCTGTGTCCATTAGCAAAGCTGGATCCCTAGGAAGAAAAATTGAGGCTAGAAATACATAGAAGCTTTGTAACTCTAATTTTGCCATTAATCCACTGGCATTGCTTAGGAAGCTCAGATATGGGGTGGGTGTTAGTGAGGGAAGGGAGAAAGGATTTCCCTTGGGAATACAAGGATTGGGGTGTGTTCCCATCTCAGAAAGGATTTCCCTTGGGAATACAAGGATTGGGGTGTGTTCCCATCTCCTTAGAGCAAGAAACTTCTTCGTTCTGCATTCATTCATTTAATTTTCATTCATTCATTTAAATGACTGCAGGGTAAGAGAAAAGCACCGTGCCAAGAAAACAATGTTTAAATTTCTTCTGTGGATTTGTTGCCTCACTTTTTTTGGATATCCTGGGAGCTGAAGGGCTCTGGCTGCCTAAAGGATTTGAGCTTTTCACAGTGAGGCCCTGACACCTCACTGTGAGGTGGGTTCAGACTCCTCTCACCCAAAGTTTTACCTCCAAGCCTGCACTGACAGTGCCCAGATACATCACAATGGCCTTGGAGACCTTGTTGGGAAAAAAGGATACAGAAACCTAGACAGAAAAGAAGTGGAAAGAACAGAAGCAACACAAAACCAAGGAAACTCTCATGAATTTCCACATGACAACCACAACAGAGTGAAAAACAACAAAGACAAAAGCTACAAATGGGTAGGGAAGCAAAAACATAGCAGAAATATTACATATATTTGAAGTAAATCTGCTTTTAAACAGTTTCATGCATTAAATGGGTGAGATTCTGTGGGGAAAAAAAATAGGTCAGATCATCTTTTATTAATCAGACTTCATTCAGCTTTCTTTGCTTTTTGAATGTGATAACTCCAAAATCCCATCTAAATGTAAATATTGATTCTTAAAAGATGTGCAAATCCATTTAATTTATTACCAATTCAGTACAAGAATACAAAATGGTATTCTTTTTTCTCTCTGTCCTGAGAAAACAAGAGTCTTCTATTTTTCAGTACTGAAAGAGCTCAGTCTTTTTTGTTCTCATTAAGCAAGACATTTTTTTCCTTTACTGAAATTACAGGAAAGCACGAAAGACCCTTGTCTGGACAGATTAAAGAAACCTGATTTGCTCTTCATTACTGACCTTAACTCCAGGAACTGGTTATTGTTCATCCTTTCTGGTTGTTTTAATCTCCCCCTGAAAAGCTCTGCTAAGTGTGTTCATTAAATCTCATCAGATGAGTCACCATCCTGGGCCTGGAGTCGCTCAATCAGTTAAAATCAGGCACACTATAATTGCCATTTCATATTAAACTCTATGTTCATGCAGTAAACTCTGATTCTGGTGGGAATCAGCACCTGATGCTTGTGGAGAAGGTTTCAAGCTGCTCATGCATGAGCTGACTCCCACATCACTGAATTATTTCTGGGTTTTGTAAATCAACATCACATTTCCCATCGTGCCTTCAATGTGCCCACACAGCTTTAGCACACATTTGGGATTGTGAAAGTGGCTACATGATGGCAAGCCCAAGTTTGAGAAGAGCCAGTAATGGAATCTTGAAGAAAAACTTTATGAATGCAAAATCACCTTAGACAGAAAGAATTTTTTTTAAAAAAACACAGTCTTGGCATGTGCAAACCAATTTCACACTGTCTCTTTAGGCAGCTGAAGAACACCCACACACCCTAAACAAATGAACTGCTTCCTGGGGGGGAAATCCTTTTGGCTACTGCCAAGAGAATTTTCTATCTAATAATCCCATTTTCTATCTAATAATCCCATTTTCTATCTAATAATCCCATTTTCTATCTAATAATCCCATTTTCTATCTAATAATCCCATTTCTAGTGATGGTCAGCTGTTGTGTGACGTTCCCATGCAATATGCAGCATGTTAGCACAATGGTGAAAAGGAATTTCTGGTTTCTATCACCTGTGTTGATGCTGTGGGACACCTGAACTCAAGCTGTGAAGCTCTCCTGGAATTCTGACATGTTTAATTGATGATTTGGCCATTTTAATGAGAGGCCACGTCTGGTTCTCTTTTGGAACAGAACAGGCAGGCAGGTGAGAGATCAATCATAACCCCAGAAACTCTCCATGACTCTAAAAGCTACCAATTACCAGAATTAGTGCGATGTGCAGCCCAGCCTTGGGCTGGCAGCTCTGCAGCTCTCCACGTGTGCTGCCAGCCCAGGTGCTGCTGAAGAAGGAGGGAGGCATTTCAAATGGTGCAAGCAAATCAGGACTCCCATTTTCCTTCTCTTCCATTACTGAATGAGTGTCTCAGTGTCACATCAATAAACCCCTCACCAGCCCTGCAGTCTGGTCTCCTTTAAATAATGATTGGAAGGAGCCACTCCTGACCTGTGCAATAATCACCATTTGCTTTCCACAGGAGGTGACCCTAAATCACTCTGCATCTCCAGGGACAATCAGGGAGCACTCTGGGCCTTGATTTCCTGCCTGGGGAATAGAAACTTCTTCTGAAATGCTTTTGGGGAAGGAGGCTGTGAGACTGTGTGTGGGACAACCTCAAGCCACAGCTGCACTTCGCCAACCAGGGAATTCCTTCCCAATATTTATTAAGCGCCCCTGTAGCTTCCTCTTTCCAAAAGACACCCGAGTTTCCTATGCAGACACAGGGAGTTTGTGCTTTTCCCTTGAGCACAGTGAAACCCAGACACCGAGAAACAATCACTCACCATCTTGGTGGTTACCTGAATCGGCCGGGGACTTGCTGCGGCGCATGGGCGCGGGGCTCTTGGCCGAGCTCTTCTGAGGGGTGGGGGAGGATTTGCTGCCCGTGGCACCTGCTGGGCTCCCCTTCATCACCCGGCACTCTGGGGACACACAAACACACCTGGTTATGGCCATGGGCAGCTCAGTGCAGGTCCCCAAAGAGATGCAGAAAGCACCAAGAGGAAAGCTGGTATCATTGTTCTCCGGGAGAAGAGCATTCTCTCTGCATGAGCCTCTTTGAGAGCTCTGCTCCTCTAGAGGAGGTGCTGAGACTCTGCAGGTGTTAGGCTGGCTCCTACCTGTGTTGTACCAAACATTTTCTTCCCCTTCCCTTGGCTCTCCTGAGCACAAGGAAAATGGTCAGCACTGAGTGAGGGAACGCTCAGACCAAGAGAATCCAGCTCATTTTCCATAACCCTTCCATGAAGAGCCAGTAACAGGAATGGTGAGTGCTCTTTCTGCTGGTGCAGAAAGCCAGCAAACAGCTCATGGTGTGATGTAAATAAAGTCCAAGTGGCAGATGGGGCAGCTGCCCCAGGAGGCTTTCACCCAGCTGGAATCAGCCTCTTCTGTCCTCAGCAAGCTGCAACTCCTCAGATGCAGAAAGCAAAGGAGACAAAATGGTTTTACAAAGCACATCCTCTGTCCTGGCCACTCGTCCCTTTCAGGAAGGTTTGTATAAACAAGCCCAGCAGATTTATGTACTGGAAGGAGTGAGCAGATGAGAACCCCAACTGTGCTTTCCTAAAAAATAAATAGGCCAGGAAGAGTGGAAAATGTAAACATGATCTGCAGAGGGGAACTGCAATGCTAACAAACCTCCACGTGTCCCAGGATTTCAGGCATGCCTGATCTTCAGAACCAGCCTTTATTTACATTGAGAGCTAACAGAAAAAGAACTTTCCACCCCTCAAGTTATTAACTTAACCCAGTTAAGAAGAAGGCAATAAAAAAGGGATTTCCTTTTTGTCAAATGTTAGCTGGTCCCACCTCATCTCCTCCAACAGCTTGTCCTCACCAAGATGTGAAAAATGTGTCGTTTTTACAGATGTGAATTACGTGTTCCACATGCAGGCAGCTTTTTATGGAAAAGTTCAGCTCAGCCCCACATGCTCCACACTGAGGACCCCCTGGAACAGAGTTCCCAGTGGAAATAAGGCAGCACAGAGCAGATAAATAATTGGTCAACCGAAAGCAAGCTGTCTGACCTAAATGTATGTGTTATTTAATTATATATCAGTGTATCTACGAAAATGTAATTGCCTTAAATTTTTCCCCAGGCTTTCCTGATTCTCAGCCAGCCAAGGGTCCATCTCTGCTCCTTCTGGATGGTTTGAGAGAGAGTTTTGCTCTTGGGTCATGCAGCACAAGAATGTGAGGAGAGGAGGCCTTGTGCTCCAGGGATGCTGCATGGCAGGAATTAAACCTACAGTCAGCTTGTTTTGTCTCCTGCTAAATCAATTTTGGAAACTGTAAATCAGGGACAGAAAAAGTTGTGGTTTTTTTCCTTCAAAAATACTTGAATTCCCACAGATGATGTCACAGAAAGGCTTGTAGAGGTCCAGCACCAATATAGCCCCAATTTTTTGTACATGAAGAGCAGTACTGATGTTGTGAGGGGACTCAAAGGGTGTCAGGCAGTTGTGTTTAGTCACTTGAATTACTCACTAAAAAAAAACAACCCTAAACCTAAAAAGTAAAAACACTTTGTGTTAGGTCTTTGCAAGAGCTTCCAAATTTATCTTCTTCCCTGAGGAGCAATTCCTTGGAAGGAAACCTGGCTTTGCATTTTCCAGCACAGAAAGGCTGACTCTGAGGAATTCCTCCAGCTCAGCCCTTGAAAAGTGTCAGTGCACCAGAGGCAATCCCTGAGCTTTTGCAGGAGGTGGAAACCTGGCTGTGCTGACGTTGGTGTAAAAAGGCCTCTAAATGTCACCAAAGTGTGACATTTCCACGGTGCTGAAGCCAGTGGGTACAAAAGGGAAAGAGCAATGTCATCTGGAAGGTGCTCAGCAGCAGGGATTAGAGGATGGAAGCTGTGGTGGGCAGCCAGGAGGAAAAAGATGACATAATCCTCTCTTGGGCTGTTCCTTTTTGTTTCCTGATGTCCTGCCAGAGTGAACATAATAACCAGCAATCCTGGTGTGTGTCATCCAAACAGGCAAGAGGAATTTCCCCATGACAGAGATTTTATTAAGTGACACTCATCTGCAAAACCTCAGGATTTGCAGCTCTCCTGGCAGCATCTGCCTTGGAAGGATGAAGGGTGATGGGGGTGCAATGGGAAAACCGTGCTGAGGTTCCTCATCTGCTTCCTGAGAGCTGCAAGATTCCCCTGAAAATACCTCTGGAACTACTCTCTGCCTTCCCAGCAGCAAACTTGGCTCTCTTGCCAGAGAAATCCAAGCTGGAGAAGTGAGCAGTGAGCAGAAGTGAAGGCAGAGAGCTGGGCTTTCCATCCAGTTGTTCTGCCAGGACTGCATCCGAGCTGTTTTCCAGCATGGAGCTCCCTGTGGAGCTGACTCAAGTGCTGAGTGGTAAAAAACAACGTGAAGCTCAGCTTACAGATCACTTCCCCAGCCCTGACACAGGCTTTATTCTCTGCCTGCAAAGGCTCAGCTGAACCTTGGAAACCTCCTTTGAATTACCCAAGACCGTCAAATGGGTTCATCTGGAGTACACAGGTCAGAAGTACCAGCACTAAAATAAAATCAGGCTTGCAAAGGAGAAATAAAAAACACGGTGTTTGGAGATTTGAGGCTGCTTGACTTCCTGGCATCCTGCAAAAATCCTCTTTGGTCCTCAATACAGAGCCAGTTTGCAGCATGTAGGACAGGATGGGGCTTGTGTTCCTTATACAGCACACCCAGAGCTTTGGGAAGTGAGCCTAGATGCTTGGAGACCACATTTTCTTTTGTTTAAATGGCTAAAATGACATTAATTTCCTCTTGTTTCACTCACTGGCACCTGCAGACAGGTGGGTACGGTTGCCAGGTGGGGTGGGTGGTAAGTCCTACAAGCAAGCTCTGTATAATTCTGTAAAATCAAAGATTTCGTGGCTTAATTGATCACAGAGACTCACATTTTTACAGACTTTTGCTGGCAGTGGTAACAAGGAAAAATAATGGTGCTGTCCCACTCATGCCCCCAAAAAGGGAATTATTGCCCTGCTTTTTGAATCAGTGGAAGCAGGAAGTGGAAATGTGAATTTTTTTTTTTCAACTGTTGCTTGTTTCCATTTTTAATATGCATGTGTCTACGTAAGGAGGATCAGCTCTCAAGAAAAATGCATCTATCTGACTGTGACTGGAGAAAACTGAAAGTATAAACACTCCCAGATTTTGCAGTAAATGTCAAAATGCTGTAGGAATTAATTTATTCTGACTCGGGCTACCTCAGTCAGTATTTGCCTGATTATAATACTGCTGACTGGATAAGTATCACAAAAGGATGTTAAATTCCATGTACTGGGTCTTAAAAACCAGAACAAAAGCATGCAGCATTATTATCAGATAGGAGCAAGGGAATGGAAACGAAATAAAACCACAGTGTGTGTTTGATGTTACCGCTTTCATCCAGGGAAAAGTCATCCTGTGCATAGCGGAATTTTTCTGGACCACAGGCGATAAACACATCATCATCCCCAAAGAAATCGTGGAGACAGGTCACCTACAGAGAGAACAAAGTCATTCATTTTAGTTTTAATTGGTAACGTTCTGATGAGGGTCAGCTTTTGCTGAGGCAGAAGGGGGCTCTGCCTCTGCTGCTCCCCCCATCCCCACCTTAATGTGCTCCTGCTTGCCATTAATGTTTTTTTATCTATTATTGATTAATTAATTAATTAGTTAATGTGCTGCTGCCCATCTCACAACTTCCCGGGGCAAGTCAAGCCTAACAGAGTCATTAAAAAAAACCCAAAACAAGCAAAGCAGAGATAAAAACCCCAGACAATTCCCTTGCTCCCTTGGCATTTCCCACCCAGCTGACAGGATGCATCAGTCACCCCAAGGAATGACACAGCTGCTGCTAAAATAAGAACAGAGGTGCCCCCCGTGCCACACTGGCAGGGCTGTGACACCACTGCCTCTGCTGGGGGCTCTCTTGGTACCTACAGAGCCCAAAACCTCGAGGAATCACTGGGTGTAAGCCCAGATGGAGAGATGGGACTCCTCCTGAGCAATCCTGGTGACAAATTTAAAGCCAAAATGTTTATCTGTGTGATGGGTGGAGGGACCCAAGGTATTGCAGGACAACTTTCCCAGCCCAGCACCATTTAAATCCAGATTTACTGCTGGTGTTGTGCCAGCCTCTCCCTCACTGAGTGCCTTGCTCCTCATTTTTGCCATCCTCAACAGGAGCAAGTTTTATCTCGCAGGACCTGGAGCTCCAAACTCTGCCTTGCAGAATCAAACAGAAACAAAGCACAAGAAGTGGGAGCCCCCGATCCACGGATTTAATCTGAGAACTGATACCTGGGAGTTTGGAAATGTGAAAATGCATTCAGGTTGCTGGGAGAAAAATTTAAAATCCCATTGGGCTGGGAGCTCCTCCCCATTTTCAGCTGGCAGAGATCTGCAATTCTCTACAGATGATGGACTTGCTTTAACAATCCCTAACAATATCCTGACATCCCAGACTGACCAAAGATGGTGTCAGGAGCAGCAAAAATGCTCAAAAAATGCTCATCTGCAATCACCCCAGCATGGAACAGCTCCAGCTGAGCCAGCCTGGGACAGCCACACATCTGAGCACCCAGCAGAGCCCACGCTGGCTTCCCCAAGTTCCACTTTTCCAGGAAAGCATTCCAAGCCAGCCCAAGGTCAGCACTGGTGTTTGTAATGGAGGTAAAAGGCTGAGAGCTGCTGCTGGCTGGTGTTTTACCATGGCTGGGCACTGGGAGGGACTGGAGAGAGCACTGGAGATAACCACGGGGACTCACTGGAGGCAGAGCTGAGTTTCTGTATCTACCGATCTCTTGGAGCTGGACTGTGAAAAGTTAATTTCAAGCTCTAATAAATCAGCTCTAAAGAAGGCTTTTGGCTATCTTAATAAGGCTCAGTATTTCACACTGGTTAGGATAATGTATAATTAAAGCACTGCCTGTGAGTGCCAGCACTGGTTACGATGCCAAACCTTAGTGAAAAGCCTGTTTTTCACATTGTCATGACTTTCAAAATGGAGCAGGCTGAAATCTGCCGTGGCTTTGAGCAGAGTTAGAATTTTCTCTGCTAACTCTGGTGAATTCCTATTTCTGCCTGCCTAAAATTAGATTGAAAGTAGCTAACTTCATCTGTAGAAAATTCTCCCAAAGGAAAGATGACATTTCAAACCAGCACTTGGTATTACAGCTTGCCCCCTGAGGACGTGTGGCACGGATTCATTTGCAAATAATTGGGTTTGGCTCAACACACCAGTTCCCATCTGAATGCTAAACACTACACTTGTGCCACTGAAAAGACCTGTGGGTTGCTCTGCTCCACTGTGCAGTTCAATCTGTGATCTAAAGTTGGATCACGAGGCTTCAAAAATTTCCCAGCCTTTTACATGAAATCAGAAAGAACCCACAGATTCTTTTGTTGTCTCCAGGTCAGAAGTCCAAGAGTGGATTTCATCCTTGACTGCCCACAACCACCCCAAGCAAAAGAAAGTGCAGGCAACCAAGAAAATCTTCAGATCCAAGGGTTCAAACACGATGGAGAAGTCCCAGTGTGTCCAAGGAGAGGAACCTGACTGCATTTCAAACAGGGATACTTGCAATTCACTTTTCTGCATTCCTGTCCCTCCAGAGAGCAGTTTTTATGTGTATTTTATAGTTATGAACACCTGGATGAGCAGTGGAGGCTGGTAGAGAATTAGATCATCTGCTTGCTGAACTCTGAATATTCAGGAAACAATCCCTTCTGCATTTGCTTTATTTGTTCCTTTTTGGTTTCCTGTTGTAACTTCCATTACTGAGAGCTCACCACAACAGAAAGGACAGCCAAAACCCAACCCCACTCTCCTTAAACAGTGCAAACCACTGCAAAATTCAGAAAATAACTGGGGTCCTGTACTATGGGGCCGTAGCTCTGTTGCTTATGTTCACCACGTGTGTGGTATTTTCTATTTACCTTTTGTTTATTCAACTCCAGTCCTTGATCATTGCTCTGACTCCCTGAAACACAGGAAGTTACTGGAGGAAACTTTCTTTGGGAAAACTTTCTTTTGGGTCTGAGAGCATCAGAGCCAGCTTGTCTGAGGGGTGGATGGAAAAAAAGAAATCCACCAGGATAAAGTGTCCCCCCCAAGCATTGTGGACTTTTGGAAAGAATATTTTCTGCTTTAGCTTATTCTGATCTACCACTCTAATTATATCCAATAATTCACCTGGAACACCAAGAAAAAAAAACAACTAAACAACAACCCTGAAAGAAGGTTCATATCAACAAAAAATTTAACCCAGATAACCTGAAAGTAGTTTTTTTTTTTTTTTAAATGCTGTGTTTTGCATTTAGTTATAAATTTATTAAAGCACAAGACAAAGCCCAATAGTAGCCAGATAGTGCAAAGACCAATGCTGCCACTTGAAAATGGTGATTTTGTTGGTGGCTGTTGTCATGTACCCTCAGCAATGACACCAGGAACAGCAAAACAGGAAGATTTTGTCTTTCTGCAGTTTTCAATCTACAAGCATTTTTCATCTATAACAAAATTTAAACTCGTGTAAATAACTACAGTAGACAAGATAAATAGCATTGATTTCCAAGCATGCCTTTGTTTAAGGGAGGGTAATATTTAATTTGAAATTCAGGATTGAAAGGATAATATTGACTTGGGAAAGGATCATACTGAATGAAATGTTTGCTCTCCAATTCCTGTAGCATAAGCAATTCCAAGGAAGGAAATCATATCTTCACACTCCAGTCGATGAGACACAAATTTATTTCTTACAAAGTCATTATTTCTAATAGATCTGATGGCAGCATTTTCCTTTGTGCCAAGGTCTGATCTTTAAAAACCTTTATAATATATCTTATGGAAGAAATGGAAGGTTGTAGAGATTAGTTTGCAGTTCCTTAGGTATTCCTTGTTGAATTAAATCCTTCTCTGCTTATATGAGAAAAAGCTTCCCTGAGAGGACAATCTAGCTGGGATTTCTGCAGTGACAGTCCATCAGTGCCTGCTGCAGCAATTTTAATTGCTGAAAGGAAAAGCTGCAGCCTTGTGAGAGCTGCTGAGCCCCTGCTTCATTTTAATACAGCACTTGTAAAACTAAGCATTCTTCAGGATTTTGACAAAATGGAGCTTGCCTCACACACATCCCTGGATGCAAGCTCACAGTTTGCTGAAATTCCTCAGAAATTCTGAGTTCACCTGAAAAAGGGGCAGTAAAAACACAGGATCTACACTGGCACAGCTCGGGGTAACTGGCTGTTCCCACCTTCCTCCAGGAGGCAGCAGCAGTATTTAGAAATGGAAATTATTAATAAGTGAAACAATTAAAAAGAATTAGAAATAAAAAGTTTGAAGATTTCAGCCAGCAGTGCAGAGCCTGGGGTGCTCTGAAGGTTTGGCATTTCCCCAGCTCCTTTTGCCCCCTGACTGTCACTCCAGGACAAACGGGGGCACAGCAGGGACAGAGGCAGAACTGAGCTGTCCCCTTCACCCTTCAGAGAAGTGTGTTTTTCAGACAGAAAATCTGCTTATTTTTAGCTCTCTCCCTCATCATGATTTTGTAAACCACACTCTGCAATATCCCTCCCATGCAATATCCCATCCCATCCTGGATTTAGGCAGCAGAACAGTGATGGCAGTACAGAAGTAGCTTCAAAGTCCCCAAGTTTCTGCAAATCTCATGGTTATGTTCGAAGAAAACAGATCTCCACTTGCTTTCTTTAAATCACCACAGTTCTTCAGCTTGTAGGCTTCCAAAAGTCAGAACATGGGGACAAATATCCACAGAAAAAGCCAAAAGAGGTCCCAAAAGGCCACAGAAGAAAATTGCATGTGATACACACAGCCTGGAAGAACAGAGCTAGCTAAGACACACTCTTCTTCTCCAGGCTGCTTTGACAAGTGCTGTAAAATTGAACACATCCAATCATCAGAAAAATACAATTAATGTGTTTTACATGCCTGCTCCTGTCCTTTCTCTCTCAGCACTTAAAGTGAGCAAGTCAGAGCAGCAGCCAGACAGGCAGCAAGAGTTAACTGAGCTGAAAATGTCACTGAAACCTCTTTAAACTCTGTTTTAACTCACACCAGCAATCTCAGGGATTTATTTATACTCCATCAGCTTGTGCTCCAAGTCAGGTTGGCAGTGGCCTGTTTGTTTCAGGTCTGAGGAGCCAAAATCCTAAATCACAAAGAAAATTTTGCTTCCTGATGTGTAACTTGGGTGTCTGCATTCAGCAAAGCACAGCACAGGAATCAAACACCCACAGAAAGATTCAGAAGGAATATGGGAATTGATGAACATGGGTAGTAAGCTCTTCACACACCCACAAAAAGATTTCAAAAGACTGAAGGGTTAAGGGAATGCAATGGAAAATAAAGATGTTGGTATTGGAATGCACAGCACTTAATACATTTTTCTTTTTAACAGTCTGAAGACTGCAAGCCCAAAGCAGACACTGAATTGATTTACATTTTATTAGATTCTGGTATCCTGCATTTAAAAATAAGAGATG